TCATCATGCCCTGCTTTAAGCTATATTCTCTTTTCCCTCTATTCATTGTATGTTCTTTATAATTCTATTTAATCCCACATCCCTTGGTTCGGTTCGTTTGCGTTGATGTGAATGCAATCTCGGTACTTTGGTGCGCACCAAATCAATCGATCCGAGACCTGCCTGAAGGGGTGGTCTGGGACCACTTTATCCGCTCTACTTTGGTACGGTGCGTCTGGTGTGAAAGCAACCAAACCAAATCTGACGAAATGGTATAGTTTAATGCACTTTGGGTATAAGAGAGGGGGTTGTGGGTAAAATTTCGTAACAAGCCTATGTATTCACATTAAAGATGGAAAAATGTGTGGCTGGGCTGTTTTGATAGGCCAACGTACCTGATGGATCTGCAGGAAGATCGCCGGCTAATAAAAAAAAAATGAAAAAAAAAAAAATTTTTAAAAAGAGAAAAAAAAATGAAAGAAAATGGGAAAAAAAAATGGAAAAAAAACAGTGGCGCGCAATGCGCCGTCGGCGAGATGAATAAACCAGGAAGCTGGTTTGGAGTCACAGCCGCGAATCGTGTTCGAAATTAGTTATCTGAAAATAATGATTTCCACGTACAATGTAGTGCGCGAGGATCAGCGCCATGACCGCAAAGCTGTTCCTCTATGATTATTGAAAGTGGCGCGATTTTCTGAAAATAGTCTGTTCCCGGTGCCGATGGCCTTCGCGGTCTATTTTGGTTCGTTTAGAACTCTGCATATGTGAAAGCAAACCGTACCCACGTCTGTTTACTACATTGTAACATTTTTCTGACTGGTGCGGACTAAAGCAATCGTACTATAGGTGTGAAAGCACCCTAAGGTTCCGTAAATAGTAATTCCAAACTACTGTGTATTCCACGAATATGGGTTTTTGAGTTTCTCCAGGTCTGGTATTTTAATTTTTGAGGGAATAATTGGGTATTACACTGCTATGCAGGTTGTTTTTTTTTCTCATTGGATCAAAACTGTCGTTTGGACGGACGAGCGGCAGCGACGGAGGATAAGGTTGAAGAGGAGCGTCTGCTGACCGAAGCGGACCTTTCTCTGCCTTCGTCCCACATTACAGATAAGTGTTGAGACCTCAATTCACCTTGAAAACAAAACAAAAATATGCTACCCAGGTAGATTGGACATTTTATGTTGGACATTTTACTTTGGGGGTTTTAAGAGCTCAAGAGAGTGTCCTTTTTTTATATCTGTTTTTTTTGTAAATAAATACCGGATATTCATTCAGTGAGGTCCAGTTACTCTTATTCCTCTACTCCTCTTTGAAAAGTTCCTTAGAAAGAGGGCACTGACCTGTTACACTTAGGGTTGGGGACCGAAATCCGGCACCAATATAACCGGTATGTGCCGGACCGAAACAGAACGCGAATTTCGGTGCTTCATTTCGGTGCCGCTTAGATGCCTGAACTGTCGTATTGAAATATTTGTTCTCTGGGGCTATGATGACACAGTTATAATAAACGTCAGATTCATCAACGCACACGTGACATCATCAGGAAATGAGACCATCCCAGATGCGCGTGAATGCAGCAACTAACGTTACACTTGCTCTGATGGCCAGTGTTGCCAACTATTTTCAATGGAAAGTAGCTAAAGTCTGCTCGAAAAGTCGCCAAATGTCGCTAGATGACGTCATGCGTATATTTGCATATTAATGACGTAATTACGTCGTATTTGCATTCTGCGTGTTTTCCCTAATCCTTACTCACGTGTCCAATATAAAACTATCAATTACGTTACATATTTTCTGTCAGACAACATTTATATTATACGTATATATGTTTTTTATGTATATTTGAGTTTAATAAGTTTAATGAAGTTTATCGTTGTGTATGAGTAAGTAGAATCACGTACAGTCAATCAGATGTAGCTCAGTAAACGATCTCAGACGAGTTCAGAAAAAGGAATGAACTTAAGCTCTGTAACAGTGAGTAATATAAGCGCATCAGAAGAA